TTTGTTATGCTGATCAAAAGATAGTAGTCAAATTATGTCCAAAATTCACCCAAAAATAGAGAAATACCGGTACACCAAAATGTTCAAGCTACCTCCGTAAGTTTTGTTTCAATATAAAACAAATACAATGTGTAGTGAGTGGATCTCCTTGACACCATGGACTAACAATTCAGTAATTAATCTTACTTTTAAGACTCAATTTATTTATGAATGAAAGTTTTTACATGTACAGATGGATTAAATCAAATTTTGAAAAAAAAAATAGCATATTGCTTCCTGTTTTTAGTGGAAAGGATGGTATCACTAATAAATGTGTATTCAGTGACTTTTGTCTCATTTTACACAAATAAAATGTTTCTGGTACGATATTCAAAATAAGTGGGTATATGTTCTGTTTCCCCCCCCCCCCCCGATCTTCTCAGTAGATCCAGATGCCACTGAGGACGTTGTAATAACATACAATGTAGTAGCTGCTGACATAAAAAGCAAAGCACAAGAATAACTGACACAACCTGTCAAACATTCTGTTGTATTACTGTGTTGGTTCTTCCTGCTTGTGGGAGCATTATACAATAAAATTTAAAAGTGCTTGGTCTAGTTACCAGAAACCCACTCTTGAATTTTTATTTGATAATGACAATTGCTCTTAGTCTCCCATGGTTGCGGAGTCTAGTTAAATAATGTCTCTACAGTTTTTGCATTGATTTCATCCACGGTTCTATATACCTTGGTTACATAGATAAGTGAAAGGGTGTAAATTATGATGGGAAAAAATGTGGTAAGTTATTTTCTCAAAGTAAAGATCTCAACAAAGATATGTTTGTATGCAGGGACTGTTTTATGAAATATTCACTGCGGTTTCATTACTTTTTTCAGACTAACAGAAGATTGTTAATACATTAAATTGTTAATACATTGCATGGGAACCATATTTGACATGTGTGACGACTGACATTCTTCAGAGGATACTAATGTAATGACCACCATATACAATGGATTTAAGAGTCTGCTGCACAGCAACTCTGCCAAAGCATGTATATGTCCTTCAGTTTACTGTATTTGAAACCATCCCAGCCATACAAAGAAATTACCACCTCGAAATTTCCATAACTTATAATTGTGCATCAACATTTCGCGTCATGTTCATTTTTGATTGAGGAATTAATCTAGTCAAGTAAAAGTACATGGAGCTTGTAGGACAAGGGATAATTTGTCTTCACTGTGAAATGACATCAACTTTTTGAGCCTGTCTTCAAACTAGCAAATAACTTGTTACTTCGTAGCTGAGAACTCATTTCTGCAAGAAAAAACAATACACTGAGAGTTGATATTTATTACACATTAAAAAAAAAACATGATACGTGTCGGAGACGTGGCTCCAGAACAGCAATTGTATTTTGAAACTTATCTGAAAAAGCCTCGCCCAGAGATCTGGGTTCGTAATGATGAAAATACTTAATTTTAATACATTTTAACAATAAAATAGTATATTCAAGATACAGAAGTGTGAAGGTCAATCCACAGGTTTTCAGACTGCATTCGAACAGGAACTAAAAATCACTGCCAGTTAGTGATAGAATAGAGTTAGAGACTCAAGTAGGATGAATTATATGAATTAAAATGATTCATAAGCCTTGAGGAAATAATAGTAGTGTGGTCAAAAGGCACGATAGCTGCTGCAATTCAGCCATCTTTCATCTGATTGTTTTACAAATTGTCATAGACATGATAAAGTACTAGGCACATGCAAAGAATGAACAGATTTGGTTTCACAAGTTTCTGAAATATGACGAAAAGAGACCAAATTGAAAGTAACTCTTCAAGCTTCCTTCAAACTGAGACTAGGTTGAATTGTCGATTCTGGTATCATTATTTTAAAATCACAGTCCCTAGGTAGGACTACAAGAAAGCTATCATGTGGTATTCAGTAGTTGGTAAATCTACCAATCAGTCTTCTCCTATTACAGGGATCAATCAATTGATGCTTTCATTCTAAAATACAACCTGATTGGTCAGTTGCCTCATGAATATTCAAATCCCATGGTATGTTTGGAGTGAGCACGCTTGAACTAAGTATTGGAAGAGTTGTACCAGTTTTCGGTAGATTTGTTCATCAGTCATTTCAAAACTTTTTTTTTTATACCATAAATACCGCACTCATAAATCTAAGGTTTAGTTTTTCTGGTATTAAAAACATTTTGAACTGTTTTGAAAATAAAGGCCAATGTGTGCATAGCAAACATTTTAAATCACTTTACCAAGATTTGACCCTTGAACTTACCTGACATAAAAGTATTAACATGCGAGTCCTTCTCATTTTTCTTTGATTCATATAATAGCACCAGCATCATCTTATTATCAACTTTACATATATAATAAGTGCTTTGAAAATTCTGTATACAAGATAGAAATTATATGACATCACTCTTACAGTCAAAATAGAAGGTTTCTAATTTTTTTAATTTTTCACTGAATCGAACCATAATATCACTGATGCAGGGAGGATACAGGTTAGTAAATTGAAATGACACCAAACCAGGAGTAATGATTTTTATTTTGTGGATTTTTGACACATCGGCTGCAGATACTCCATTGAGAGCCACAATGAATGAAAAACATGGCCTTGGCAGGCAATGTGTTAATGAAAACAGCCTACAGTGACATGCCACAACTACACGTATGTCATCACGAATGGAGGTGACATTGGACTGCATGATAAAAAAAAGCATATTAAAATTATTTTTAAGATGAAAGGGAATAAGGTCAGGAGAGACAAGAGTGACATTCAATGAAACATTTAAAAAAAAAGAAGGAATAAGGTAATCAATAGTAGCATATACTGTAAATACTTTATTTTCGCTTGGAAATTATTTTCGCTGAACGGGTGTGATTCCGTGAAAATAAAATCCAGCGAATATACTTTTTTTCATATATTTCACATTAAAAATCCGTAAAAATAAATTCCATACAAAACTCCCAAAAAGGTTTTTCAGCGAAAATTAATTCCATCGAAAATAAAGTATTTCACAGTAGTTGCATTATAATGAGTTATTGGTAGACATTAATTTTCAAAAAAGTACCATATGGTATTTGTCTCTTATTTTTAGTAAACACTTGTTTCCTAAAATGAATGTTTTTAAAAGACCAAGTGACGGGAAAACAGAAACAGAAACACAAACAATGTCCCAACAATGAAATTTTGGAACATACAAAAAAGGAATCCATTATCTAACAGTAGTTTGACTATACAACTGTTTTACATTAAAGATATTCAACAAAACTTTAACATTTTTGATATGGTCCCGCACCATAAACAGAATTACATGTATTTTGAAGAGGGTTACAAAAATAGACAATTGCACCAAAAAGGTTAATTTAATCTCTTCTTCAGGGACAGTAAGTAACCATGGAAACTAACCTTGTCATAAAAATACAGAATTCTGTCATGGCTTTCCAGTTCTGATATTTTGCTGGAAATTAACATCACTACGTTGGGCCAGTGGCTGATTGGCCGATCCTGAAATGAAGAATTACAAAATATTTATTTATATATATATATATATATATATATATATATATATATATATATATATATATATATATATATATATATATCTTGCCTAAACAGGGCAGTGTTTGCATACCTTTATTTGGCAGAAATCAGCGTAAAAACTCACCACTCCATACATGATAAGACTGGTCTATTATTGTTCTGTTCTCTGATTGGCCGGTTTTTACCTACATTGTGCACATCACTTGCAGTTAATTTAAACACGATAAACTTCGCTCACGGTCATAACTAGTAATTTATGTAAAAATTACTTCAAATTTTAACAATTGTTTTAATATACTCTGTTATCTACACAAATGGATTTAGCTGCTCTCTAAAAATTAATCTCTCTTAATATGTAAACATTCGTTGTTATGTAAGCCTATGTTACTTGCATGCACACTTCTGAAATAAGTGTTTGTCGCTTTAGAAAACAATAATCCTAAATAATTTGACACAAAATGGTTTGCTGGAATAATTAATAAAGGATGCGTACATTGGGATAGCTGACAACGGCAGGATAACTGTCGAGTCCCGTTACCGGGATAAACAATGCCTCAGGGTGATGGTAACCATGTCCAGTATACGTGCTTTCACATCCTCTCACATTAAACACTAAACTAATGTTGAAAGCATCTGTCTTCTTGTGGAATGAGACAATTCTGGGGAGAAAATGATAGTTTTACTACTATATAATTAGTATATACCGATATATATAAAAAAAACAATTCCTATGCCATATTCTAAAAGCATTCTGGGTCTTTGATTCACTTCACACGCATCGGAACTCTATGCATTAGTGTATTAAGTTAGAACAAACAATCAAATGGAAATCCACCACAATCACCAGATATGCTGATCTTTTAAAAAAACGTTAAAAGTCAACGTACTTCGTATAAAAGTCGGTTGGTATTTTGGACATGACTGTCTTTATGTCACCAATTGGAGCTTGCTTACTGAGAACTTCGTGAAAGTAAAGACTGAACTGCAAAAAAACAAGTCATTATCAACGACATAGTCCCCGTCATGTTTTTAGCGAACACAATGCTTGATCAATAATCAATATGCACACTGTTGTACCATTAGGTATGCCTAAAAAACAGTTAATGACATGTTAAAATTTTGCAATTTTATTCGTTTTTCATGAAAATGGCCGCCATTTCACTAAATTTCATTGAAAATGAAAAATAACTGAAAACAACATTTAACTCATTATATCTTGCCTTTGTACAAAATTTAACTCAACCTGTACAATCATCTCTGTAAAATGAGCAGAACACTTGTGAAAAAAAAAATGGCCACCAGTCCACCATTTTGAGTTGAATCACGAAAAAAAAATGATGTGCATCAGTAACCCACCATGACTGATGTCAATGCCTTGTTTGAATGAAATTGGTCAAGGCAAGTCCGGGAAACGGTTGATGACATCTTTGAATTTTGCGATTTTATTTGTTTTTGATGAAAATGGCCGTTATTCAGCTAAATTTTGATGAAAACAAAAAAATAACTGATAACAACATTTAACTCAAATCTGTACAATCATCTCTGTAAAATGAGCAGAATACGCTCAAGAAACAAAATGCC